CTCACGCGACCATGCCCAGCTGCCAGGGGACTGGGAGCCCGTGTCCAAGCAGGTGGTCACGTCACGCGCCTAACCGCAGCTCCAGAGATGTATCATTCAAGAAGAGAGAACAGATACACAGCAAGAGAGAGCACTGGCTCCAGCCGTTATCCACACAAGTGAAAAACTGAGTTTCTCCGCTTTTTATGTTCTGTAAGTTACACTTCTCTGGCCGTGAAATTGATAGAACTGACCTTACTCAGATGAGAAACACGCCACCCCCCTCACGTGGCCGCAGAACCAGGGAGGAGACCGCCGGCCGCCTGGAGGAGACAGCTTCCTGCCCTCGTCAGTCCTGGGCCCACCGCCTGGGAGAGTCACAGCCTCCTGAGAAGGCCGTCTTCGCAGGGCCCCCCTCCCACCTCCTCCGCCTGGCAGTACCCTCCCCCCAGAACCTTGGCAGAGCCCAGCAGGGAGCAGCTGGCGGAACGGAAGAGAAGGCCGTCACTGGCGACCTGGAAACGTGGTCACTGCACCTTGTTCTAAATACATCTCCCCATTTAAGTTTCCACCTGGCGTGTGTGCAGCCGGTTTCCACCTGTTAATAGCTCTGTTCTCTCTTTACATCTGTGTGTAAGAGAGAGGAAGAGGGACTCCCTGGCGGGCTAGACCCTTCACTTGCCTTGGAGAGGCGAGGGACATAAGGCCTCACAGAAATGCGGGCGCAGGAATTTGGGGAGGTGTGAGCAGCGCCCAGAGGGTGGCTGAGTGGAGTCAGATGAAGGCTGACTGGCAGGGCAGACCAGGTGCGGAACCACAGCCCGTCTTCCCCGGTGCACGTCTAAGCACACGACGGGCGGGGCGGCTCCGGGCCGAGCACACTCTCCCGGGGCTAAATTTGGCGCCCTGAGCTCTCATTAAGGCGTCTGCTGGTTGCTGAGAGGTTTCTGTTTGGTTGGTTGGGATGTTTTAGCGCCTGGATAAGTAAACGCTGCTGCGATTTCAGCTTTTTTCCCGAAGCGATCTTGCAATCTCCTGAGACGGGGCAACGTGCAAGCTCTAAGGAAGGATGTCCGGGGGAGAGGGAGGGGCGCAGAGGCCGGGGTGGCGGGAGCCTGAGGGCAGGGCCTGCCGCCCCAGGGTCTGCCTGCCAAGCCCAGGCCTTGCGCTCCTGGACACATGCTGGTGAACGAAGCTCTCCCAGGGTTAGCCGAGACTGTTTCGTTGGAAAACCTAAAGATAAATGCCACAAACCCCTCTCTGAGGGACTCCTGGGTGTCCCTGGGCACCGTCCTTTCCTTCCGCACTGCTCCTCGCCGGATGCCCTGTGGAGGACACCCCACGGAGGAGGGCCTCCCCTCAGCCGGCCGCCCCGCCCCGCCCCAACCTCATCACTCTGAGGTCCCACAGCTTCTCCCTGCATTCACGGGGATGCAAAAAGCTGAGAAGCACTATTTTATTTTTTCTAAAGAACGTCAGTACTGACAGAAAGTGCAGGTGCTCTTGAGATAAAGTCCCACCTGCTCCAAGCGCCGTCCGGGCTCTGGGAGCCGGCCCCCATGTTCCAGCTCTCCCAGGGTCTCCCCGTGGCTGGTCTGGTCACGGGCTTACCCTGCTGACCCAAAGCGGGCAACTGCCAGACAGACAGCGTCGGCTCTCCACTGACCAGGGCCAGGGCCCCGTGCATCCCCCGCCTCCGGTGTCTGACACACACGTCTCAGTACTGCCGAGGGCCACCTTTTACCTCGACCCCCTGTGTGTGGACAGCAGAGAAGATCCCGAGGCTAGTTCCTTAGCCTGAAGTCACAGGGCGGGTGGGGAGGCTGGAGAAGCACGTCGGCTTGGTCCAGAACAGCTGACATGCCTGGAAAAGTTAAACAGATGGAAAATGGACTGAGTCAGATGTTATTCCCCCAAAGGGAGGTCGTCTCTGCACTGCGTTTCCTGTGTGATGTTTTCAGAGGAAGCGCCAATGTTGGGCATCTGTGGCTGATCTCCAAACACCGCCAGCTGAGGAAGTGGAAATTTGTCTGAGTTGATGGAAACTTGCTGCAGGAGACCCAAAACGGACTCTGAACAGAATCGTCCCAAGGAGAAAGCGGGCACCGTCCACGCCGGGGAAGCAGTGAAGGCAAAAAGGACAGGCCTGTCACTGGCTGCGTCTAGAGAGACCAGTCTGAAAAGAGCAGCGGCAGGCCTGACCAGAGCATCAGAACGACCGCTGGGGGCTCCGTGCGCAGTGAGAGAGCGCCTGGAGGGGGCAGCTCCAGATACTTGTGCAGAAGGGCTCCCGCGACGTGGGCCGCAGAGGTGGAGGGAGGTGCCTGGCCCGGAAGTTCCCAGGCCCGGGGATCGTGGGCGGCTCCCCCCTGATTTCACCCCAGAGGAGAACAGGGGCCCAGGAATGGAGGGAGGTGCCGGGAGCCAACGGCTGCCCGCGACCCTCGTGGGAACTTGACCTGAGATCACGTGCAGGAGGAGGGGAGGGGCTGGGAAAGCTGGGGATGGCGCTGGGTTCCCAGCTGCGAGGGCAGGACACAGGGACTTGACCCCAAGCTTCCCAACACTTGGAATTTGAAACGGGGAGGGCAAGTTTGTTGTCAGAGCCTTTCAAAGAGGCAGCCATCCTCCAGGATTCTCCAGGATGAGTTTTCCTGAGCTCCTCCCGCCCTCTCCTGGGCCACGCCGTGAGGATCCATGCTGCGCACAGGCCTCCAAACCATCCCTCAGGGGTGAATGTACGGACAGCACTTTGAATGTGCAGGGGCCTGGCCCTCGGGATGGGGAGGCCACAGACACTGGCAGGAGAGATCCGTGTTTTTCAGGCTGTTCCAGCGACCAAGCGAGGGGCCTCTGTGGACTCTGCTGGCCTGGCGGGACACTTGCCATCCATCCAGGGGTCTCAGGACTCATGAACGCCTCCGCTGCCTGTTCCCCCTGGAAATCCACCAAGACGTGCCTACAATTGCTGACAACCCCAGCCCGCCTCCAGACTTGCATGTTGATTCTCCGGCTAAAAGTCATGCTGCTTGCGCTTCCGTTTCAGTTTTAAGAGCTTAAATCCGGCTGAGAAGAGACAGGCAATTGTGTGGCTTTTGTTTGGTTAAACCACTTTATGGAACCACGCTTGGCATACAACCGATGTCTACACTTAAGTGTCGGGAGACTAGGGCCCATCAGACAAACCTACGCAATCTAGGCCGTCGACCGCTCGCCACCCCCACGGGGCGCCTGCCCGCTCGGGGTTTATCAGTTGCTTCTCTTTCCTGGCAGAAGCACACACCACGGACCCCCCAGCTCGGGTTCAAGTGCACGGAAGGCCTGCTGTCGCACAGCATGTGTCCAGAAAGTGTTTGTCTTGTAACTAAAGCTTTGATTCTTCTGACCAACATCACCCACTCCCCTCCCTCAAGCCCTGGGAGACCCCCCGCTTTCCGCTTCTGTGACCTTCACGACTGATTTCCTCCTAAAAGTGGAGCCACGCAGATTTCTGTCCCACGTCTGGCCTCTGTCACCACAGTGTCCTCCAGCGCCGCCACATGGGGGCGACTTCCTTCTGCTCTGAGGTTGCACACTCATCCACAGATGCAGCTCTTGGCAGTCTCGCTGCACAGCTTCCTCCTTCTCACACGTGACGCCTGTCTCCTTTGTTCCCTGCAAATGGCAACTTGCAACATGACAGCCTTGGGCCAGGACTGAGTCCTGTACTTGGAGACCAGGGAACA